TAGTCTAGAGCATGTATTTGATGGAAACCTTTGGAAACAAGTCGTGCGGTGAGACGCTCTATTGCGCCATCAGGTTTGAACATGGTTCTAAAGACCCATTTACAACCAATAAGATTGGGGGCAGAGTCATAGGAACAACAGACCACGTTTGGTTTTTGATTATTGCATCATGTTCCTCTTGCAAGACTTTTTGCCATTGAGGTTGTTTGAGAGCCTATGTGACTGTATGTGGTTTTGGAAATGGTTGGATGATTAATTTATATTTGAAGAAATCATTATTGTGATATTTGGAGTTTGATTTGGGATTTTTTTTTTGTTATTCTAGTTGGTAATGGAGGGTTGTGAAGAGGAGTGAAAGGGTTATCATTTGGAGACGAGGGATTATGAGGAGAAGTTATTTAAGCATATGATGAAGGTTTGTTCTCGTGTGAGGAAGAGGGGCTACTTTCGTTAGATGGGGTAGGAGGGTTGTATTTGGGAGGGGAATAAAGTCAACTTGAAGCGAGGTGTCAGTTTGTGGAGGTGGTGGGCTGTGAGATTTGGTGATGGATGTGTAAGGAAAAATATTTTCAACAATGTGAACATGACGAGTTGTGTAAGTTTTTTTTGTGAGAGGATCAAGGATATGATAAGCACTTCGAGAAGATGATATCCAACAAAGATATAGGTTTTAGAGAGATATTGGAGTTTATGTTTAGAGTAAGAATGTAGCCAAGGGTAAGATAAGAAACCAAAACATCTTAATTTGTTGTAATTTGGTTGGTGTTTAAATAGTCTGAGATAAGGGGAATCATTTTGGAGAGTGTAAGTTGGTAGTCTGTTTATGAGGTATGTGGTTGTGGTGACTATAAATATCCAGAATTGGAGTGGCATGTTTGCAAGAAAGAGTATGGAGAGATCAATTTAACTATGTAACGATGTCTTCATTTAACATAACCATTATGCTCAGGGGTATGGGGAAGAGAAGTGAGATGAGAGATACCACAAGATGCAAGGTGAGAGGTAAAGATTAATATATTCACCTCCATTGTCATAGATAAATTGTTTAATTTTTGTCTGAATTTATTTTTTCAACCGGGTTCTGAAAACGGATGAAGGTAGTGAGGGAGTCTGATTTGTGTTGTAGAGGATAAATCCATTTGTATTTTTTGAAGTGATCAACAAAAATGATATAATATTTGAATCCATCAAAAGAGACGATAGGGGATGACCATACATCAGAAAATATTAACTGAAGGGGTGAAGTAGATGTAAGAGAAGAAGTATGAAAAGGAATTTTGTGACTTTTATTGATGCAACAAGAGTTACAATGGTTTTTCATAGAAGTAATAACAGGAAAGATAGAAGCTAAGTGTTGTAAGACTTGAGCATGTGGGTGTCCAAGTTGATGATGCCAAGAAATTAACTTATTTGATTTTGCATGGAAGGTGACAGGTTGAGTATTGGAATGAAACTGATAGTTGTGCCTTGGAGTAGGGTTTAGTTGGTTTTGAAGTCCTCGATAATGAAATAAAAAGAGAATAATTATATTAGTATATTGTTTTCGATACATAATCTAGAAGTAGATAATATGTTCTTTGAGATATGAGGAACACAAAGAACATTAGTCAGAATAAAAGAAAGATTGGAGAATTTGAGAGTTAAAGAGCAAACATGACTAATTTTAAGAGACAAAACATCGCCAATGACTAGCTCGTCATTGCCATCGTATGGTGTATGCAGAGATAGGGCATTGAGATCATCTGTGATGTGGTCAGAAGCACCACAATCAAAGAGCCAGTTAGACTTCTGACCAAGGTTCATGGAAGTCATAAGATTTTCTTGTGGATTGGAGTTGTTTTTCTTTGGTAAGGGTGGCAAGTTTACTTGTGGGTATTTGTTTTTGAATGCATAACAGGAAGGGAGCGAGTGTCCTTTTGTGTAGCAGAACTAGCATTTGCCACGAAATTGGCGAGGTGTTCCACTAGGGGTAGGGAATAAGGCAGGAGATGTGATATGTGCTCTGTTATTCCAAGGTTTATTTGGTTGGCGTTTGTTTGAAGCAAAGGCAGTGGTTCGTTGATGGAGATTGCTAATTATAGAAGATTGTTGGAGTATGGAGAGTTCATGATTAATGAGTTTTTCATGTAATTTATGCAAAGAGATTGGAGTATCTGTAGCATGGACAGCATCAATGATAGTTTCGTAGGAGGTGGAATCAAATTCGTTTAAAATAGCATTAGTAATATCTTCAACATCCATCTTCTTATCATAATGCTTAATTCATCCACAATGGTTGTGACCGGTCGCATATAAACGATGCTTGATTGGTCAGGTGTTTTGGTGGCTTGTTTAAACCGATGTTGTAGTTGTTTGATATGGCCACTGGATGGATTGAAAAATGTGTTGGAAAGAATATTCCATGCCTCTAAGGAAGAAGAGACATTGGTGATTAAGGGAGCGATGGATGGGGAAACAGTGTCGACAAGAGCACCAAAGAGCAATCTGTCCTGGCAAAATACACAGCGGATCCTGTCTTTTAGGATCAATTACATCTAATTGTTGGACTAATTTTGTGTGATTGATTATGTATATATATATATATATATATATATATATATATATATATATATATATATATATATATACACACACACACACATACACACACAATGCAAGATTGAATTACTGTACATAAATAAAAGGCATGTTAGGTGTTAATACCATGCATTGCTATCGACGAGATCTACAACTTTTAATTAGACTTCGTTAGTTAATTTTGAATTTATTTTTAAAGTTATATTTTTAACAGACTTAGACTATTGAAATCCATTAAAAATTCATAACTCTCTTGTCCAACGTCCGTTCTCTTCCGTCTTTATATTTTCGACACCTTATTAACCAGAACTTTGATTCTCATTTTGATTGTTTCAACTAATATTCAATTGATCTAGTAGTCGATATTAGTGTTGCACATTGTTGCACTAAAACTTAGAAAAAATTATAACTTGCTCTTATGAAGTCAGATTTGAGTGTTCTCTATATACATGCTCTCGGTTTTACGACTAATACGATTGTTGTTTAGATTACTTAAGCTAATAAGAAACCTATCTCCAACTCACTATTTACAGTACACTGACTGATCGTGAACATTCGGAAGTCTATGACTTCTAAATACGAAGTCGAATTTTAGTGTGCTTTATGTGTACGAGATTCATATTGCAACTCCTACATTTCCCGACAATATTATTTGTCCTAAATAATATTTTTATCGAAATTCACATTCTGTCGCTTATCGATAAATCACTTAAATGACTTTATAATACGTAGTCTACAACGTGCATGACTAATGATAATCCTAATCGATGACTTATATTATAATTATTATTTATTATAACTTAAATGTCTTGCCCGAACTTCCAGGCATTACACCTGAAGAGAACAAAAAGGAAGAATTTGAAAATGAAGATGATACAAAGAATGATGAAAACAAATAGTTTTATTCAGTAGAAGAATTTGAAGAAGAAGATGATGGGGTAGATGTAAGGAACATCATCTTTTGTTGTGAACTTTAAAGTATGTTTTGTTGTTGTAATGACTTTGTTTTAGATATCCTTTTGTTGATTTAACATTTCTTATCAAGTGGTTATCAATATTATATTGTATATTGTTGTTCTTGCTCTATGAAATGCAACATGTCAGATAGAAACATAACGGTATAGGTCGTAGTAATGGTATATACTCAAGGACGAGAGCATCTTTGTGGGTTTTAAGAAAGTAATGGTATATACTCAAGGAATGTTATAGTGATAGGACGATGGATGATAGGGAACTATAAGCCTCTTAGTAAGAAAGAGTGTGATATCTTACCACATAGATTGCATGCTCATTTCACTTATATAAGCCTCTCAGGTACAAAGAGTTGGGCAACCTATTACACATATTAGGTAAAGAGCTAACATCGTTGGATGTGTTTATGAGGGAGATCATTCTAATTTGCATTTTTGCTCACATAAAGCTTAGGATGCATACATAACTTATCTTTATCATTTATATATATTGGTTGTCTCAGTATTTTGTATAATGAAAATGATATTTTGTATTCTATCGATAAATACATATGTTTGTAAAGAATTATATCCGTAAAAGTGGTCAAAATATGTCAAACGTGTTTTGTCAATATATACACGACAAAGTTTTCTGTCGAAATTTGTGACTAACATTTACCTACAAGCTATTTTACGAAAGTCAACTTTCCTTCAAAAATCCATCAGACACCGAATACCGACAAATATGGTCAAACTCAACTTGCATGGTTTATTTGGCGGTGGGCGTTACGTATTGTACATAACAAAAATAAGAGCATTCACAATGAAGAGTTGAACATGAGATATGAATGAGGTCACAAGTCTATTTGTAAATTGATGAAATTCTACAATTCTAAGATACCACATTGACATTCAATAAATTTGAAATTCAATGGTCATCGAACACTTCAATAGAAAAATGGAAAGTTTTGTAATTTTTAAATAGATGTTATAAATTGATTTACGTAATATTTTATTGAACTCTTTAGAGTTCAATTTTCGTAATATTTTATGTAATATTTTATTGAACTCTTTAGAGTTTAATTTTCGTAATATTTTATTGAATTCAGTAGAGTACAATCCATCGAATATACTGTGAATTTTTTAAAGAATGTTTTTTTGCTTTCCCTTTTTTCTTTGATAGTATTAGATATGTGTAGTTTGTTTCTGGTTGCATACTTGGGTGTATACATCATGTTGAAGTTTTTCCTGATTCATAATTACATTGTATCCTTTTTTTATTGATCCTTAATATTATTAAGCCTTGTCTAAACATCTATATGTAGCAACTTTGACCCATATTTTGGATCGTTCATTTCGTTATCAAACAAGTCATATTTTGTCATATTTACAACATTACCGATACAGACAATCCATAATCAAACAAAGCTACAGCTACATAAATCTTACACGTAAATATAAAGACATGAGCCACAGTCGGTTTGAATCAATCAATTATAATGTAGATCTTATTGTACTATTCTTAGCCGGCTATTAAGAAGCCCATTTATACACCACAATTCCTTTGAAAACAGACACAGCAGAATGGATACAGTGGCGACAACTGAGAAGAGGCCTCATGTCATCTTTATTCCATTACCTTCACAAAGCCACGTAAAGGCTATGCTCAAACTAGCGCAGCTTCTTCACCACAAGGGACTCCAAATTACCTTCGTTAATACAGAGTTCATCCACAAGCGGTTGGTCAGCTCTGGTGGTGCCCACACCCTCGATGGCTCAGATGGTTTCCAATTTGCAACAATTCCTGACAGCATTCCTCGGATTTCTGAAGAGGAACCAGCAGTACACCTGCTCCTTCATCATATAGAAACCACCTTTTTAGCTCCTTTCGTTGACCTTGCAATGAAACTTCCAACTCCACCAACTCTTATCATCTCTGATGGCTTCATATCGGCTTTCACCATTGATGCAGCACAAAAGCTAGGGATCCCTATCATGCTCTACTGGACGGTCGCCGCTTGTGGCTTCATGGGTTTTTACCAGACCAAATCTCTCATCGAGAAAGGTTTTATACCACTTAAAGGTTTGGTTTTGAATTGCGTGTGTTCTAGATATGCTTCTTTCTCTTTATATGTACAAAAGAAAATAACTCCGGTCATTAATTTTTGTATACAGATGAAAGTTACTTGACAAACGGGTATTTAGAAACAAGTATAGATTGGATTCCAGGGATGAATGGAATCCAGCTAAAGCATTTTCCTAGCCACATAAGGACAACAAACCCTCGCGACAAAATTCTTACGTTCTGTACTGACGCTTCACAAAAGGCCCACAGTGTTGAATACAATATTATTCACACCTTTGACACGTTGGAGACTAGTATTGTTGAGGCTCTTTCATCCATGATTCCTCCCATTTACACAGTGGGACCTATACAGTTACTTCTTAATCGGATTCCAGCAGAGGAAAAACAAAACACGATGTCGAATTTCAATGGATACAGCTTGTGGAAAGAAGAACCAGAGTGTTTACAATGGCTGGAATCTAAGGAACCGAAGTCTGTGATTTATGTGAACTTTGGGAGTTCAACAGTAATGTCCTTAGAAGATCTTACAGAATTCGGTTGGGGACTTGCAGATAGTAACCAATATTTCCTTTGGATAATTAGATCCGGTGTTGTTGTCGGAGAATCCTCAGTTTTGCCTCCTGAATTTGAGGAGCATATTAAAGAGAAGGGTTTCATAGCAAGCTGGTGCCCACAAGAAAAAGTCCTGGAGCACCCTTCCATCGGAGGGTTCTTGACTCACGGTGGTTGGGGTTCCACAATTGAGAGCTTGTCGGCTGGGGTACCAATGATTTGTTGGCCTTATGGATGGGATCAATTGACTAATTGTAGGTATATATGTAAGGAATGGGAGGTTGGACTGGAGATGGTAAAGGACGTTAAAAGGGAGGAAGTCAGTAAGCTTGTACATGAGTTGATGCTCGGAGAACAAGGCAACCGTATCAGGAAGAAGGCCATGGAGTGGAAGGAAAAGGCTTATGCAGCAACAGGTCCCAGTGGTTCATCTTCCTTGAATGTGGATAAACTTGTCGAGGAAATAGTCATGCTGTCAAAATAATTACTTTAATCATCCACTAGAATTTGATTCAAAATATAATATATTTCGTTGAATATCAAATCATACAAAACATAATATTTGGATGAAAATATTGTAAGATTTGATTTTAGAACTAGGGAAGAGGCTCGGGTTAGATTTTTTTTTTTTTTTTTTTTTTTTTTATCCATAGTAAAGTGTAATGCTGCATATGGTTGTTGCAAAACCAAACCAATAAACATTTACAAAACAGTTGGCAATAATTCACTTGGTGTCCTTGAGAAGGTACATTTGAGATTAAAAGGTTTAAGAACAGAAGATTTTAAACCTGTTACATGGATTCTATGCGCTAATTGGGGCTTAAGGCTATGGGAGTGGTCACACCCACTCACTATAAAAATACTGCCACAGTTGCATTCACACCCAACTTAATTCAAGTAAAAGTAAAAGGGTATAATAGGATTAAAAGATAGAATTTTAGGAACTAAATTTGTAACTTCAATTATAAAGAAAAACGGGTACCCTGTAAAACGGGTACATCCTTTTTTTTCTACTTTGATGGATTATAAAGAAAAACCAACGAAATTAAGAGGCAAAAAAGAAGCAACCGATAAGAAGCTCCGTCTTCATCCGTCTTCCGCCTCACGTCACAAGCAAACCACCAACCCTTGGGGCGGTGCTCACGTGTGGGAAAGAGTGCCACCTCAGTCCAAGACGTGTGAAAATGCCACCATACCGGGTAGCCTAAGGGCCTAAAGGGAACAGTGAAAATGCAAATACTTTTATGGAGTTCAGATTCCTCCAATCCAACAGTAACAATTGCGGCTTTTACCAAGGGTAATTTTGGAAAGGATGCTATTATAACTGTCTTTGTCATACCCTTTAATCATTACCTTTTAGTTAATTTACTAATAAAACTCTTTCTCTCTCTCTTTATATATATATATATATATATATATATATATATATATTATATATATATATATATTAAAGTATACATATATTAAACTTGTAATTTATACTTTCAACTATTGAATATTTTATCTAGGAATTCAGGTAATATCTTAATTTCATTTTGTATATTTACATAATCATGTTTATTTTTTATAACTACGCAATCATTTTTATGTTGTATAGTATCTCAATTTTATTATACGAATTTTCATATAATAGTTCAATTTTAAGTTGTTTTAAAGTTTTAATATTAACGATATCAATTAAGCTGCCAGACGAATAAAATTGAATGTTTCAACTATTTTTCATGTATTAAAATTATAAATTAAACTTATGTTTTATTTTGTAGGATCTTAGGATCCTGATCTTGAAAACCTAAAAACGGTCCTACATAGGATCTCAATCTTGACAACCTTGTATTTGCCGTTCTACAAAACTTAATTTTTTTTATTAAATTATTTTTATGTACTTATTTAAAACCCGCCGATCTTATATAATCATGTATTTACGAAGAAAAACAAAACATAAAAACATAATTTATGTTTGAACAAAATGTTTAAAATTATATAAAAAAAAAAGTTATTTGAAAAAAGTATCTCACAAAACATTAAAAAACTATATTTGAATTATACATAAACTAACCTTAGACAGTTATATGCTAATTCGGAACGGGTTTCACGTATGCAAAATGGAATCTAGAATCCGTAAGATAACAATATTAAATATAAAATATAAATTTTAAAACTAATAAAACAAATATAATAAAATTTAAAATTAAATAATGTATTACAAATAAAACAAGTACAAATCGTTAAACATTAAAAAAAATAAAACAAATACAAATCGGTAAACATTAAAAAAAAATTCAAACAAATCGTTAAAAAAATTAAAAGAAAAAATTTAAATCCATCGTTCAATTTTTTTCTAAATTTGACCAAAAACCAAATAAATAATTTAAATAAAATAATAATAAATAATAAGATTCAAAATATTATAAAATTTATATTAAAAAAGAAAACATATTTATTACAAAGTTAATGAGAATGAAAAGACATAAATCATTGTATACTGATAGACAAAATATGAAAATGTTCTCTGACGATTACAATTAAATAAGAAAAGAAAAAACATAATTATTATAATCATTAGGGATAATAATTAGGGGGTAGTGTTAGATTGTGAAGGGGTATAAATAGCTGGAGCCTTTTGGAAAATTTGATAATATACATAATGATGTTATTGCTTAATTTACAGCAAGCAAAAATCATAAAATACATACTATAAAAAAGATATCATTTTCTAATAAATGAAGATTTTTTTATCACTTGTTACATTCTCATTCAATTGCCAAATGTCATTTTGTAGTTATTTTGAATTAATTTTTTTCCACATATCATTTTATAAGTTTTTCTATTTTATTAAATTTCACATAATATTTTAATATAATAATTACAATAAATATAGTAATAAACGGATATCAATTTCATTAATAAACTTACCTTTTAATTTTAAAATTCTCAAAATCAAAGCTTATTAGTTTCTTTTATTTATTTAAATTTAAAAAATAAAAAACATTTGTATTATAATAATTCCTTATTTATCTTATTTTTAAATTAAATTCAATATTCTTAAATATTTTGACATTTGTATTTAGCATTTTTTTAAATTAACTCATATAATATATGAGTCTGATAAGTAGTTGTATCTATATAAGGATAAAATAAAACATCTATTTGATTCTTCAAATAGATACATAGCAACATATGTTGGTTGCAACCTCTTTTTCTTGAGTCACCTGCCCATGACCTCCAAATGTTACATACATCTTATCTTACCATCTAGAGTCGAGTTCCCAATGCATAATTAGTGAGAATATACTAAATCCATTACATCAATTTAGCTTGAGGAAATGCAATTAAGGGTATAATGATCTTACATAATCAACTTTTTTTATTAAATTCACTCGATTCTCCCATATAGAAACCTACAAATGAAGTAGATAACATAAGTGAGGAGCAAACAGTAAAGGATTAAATAGGTCACAATTTCTCCCTTCTCAAAAAGCGTATATTTATTTTTTGCATGTAAGTGTTAAAAAAGATTACCTTTTACTATGTTCCACATCTTGATGAACTCTTGATTTCGTATTCTGACTGAAATATTAAACAAAAAAAAGTTAAATATAAAGTGTGATTAAGCAGTTTCTCATATGACTCTTCATATATTATTTATGCTTCACCATTTTCTTTTGCAGATTATGTCTTTCCTATTCGTTTCTTTGTATCTTTGATTCAAGAGTTTTGATAATATGTTTATTCTCTATTTCACATTCTGAATGTTACCAAAACTTATATGCCAACCATAGTCAAGATCATATATATGCTAAAAGAGAGTGACCACAACTATAATTCATTGTATCTTTTATTTCTCGACTTTTATATATTTATAAATGTAGTAAATGAAAATGTACTTTGAAGAATTAGCAGTAGATGTAATGTCATTATTGTAGCTACGACACCTGCCAAATTATCAGCCAACACCATTGCAATTGATCAGCAAACTTTAGTAACCTCAACACATGTATAGTGTAAGCAAAAATATGTTGTCCTTTTTGTTGTATTTTCCTTAAAACCAATGATTGAATAGTTAACAAATAGCAATATACTTCCATTAATTTTCTTTGAACCTATAAACAATAAAGTATCGATTTTTTTTCATATAAAATGTCCAATAAATAGACTTGTGAACATTGCAGTTTCAACTGTTTTCTTATTAATGCATTGGGGCCAAAAGTGCAAAGGTCCTAGGGGCTAAAAATATTATTTAATCCAATATTATCTTTATTTAATGTTATTTTAATATTTTTAGTTTCTCTCACCAAGTAAAATGAGTAATTTAAACTTTTTGGAACCAAAATTATAAGAAAAAAGCAATTACAACCAGTGGAAAAAAAATGTAATTTATTCTATTCATCATGCAAAACACAAGAAACCACAAGAAGCACAAAGAGGTTCCACATTATAGAACAGATTCATGATACATAACATTACCATAAGATTGTTTTTCTTTATGAATTCTTGTGTGTAGTCGGCACCCCACTAAAAAGAGGTAAATGTAATCTCTTTGTGCTTTTTATACAACATGTAACTTTGGTTTAAAGTTAATTGTAACAAAAATGTTGAAGAACTTTCATCAAAACCTGACATAATAATTGAAAACATTAAGATCCATTTCTATTAGTACTCAACAATCATAAGAAAACCTTTAGCCAATGCAACCTGCACCTTTCTCTTAGCTTCAAGTAAAGCAACATCTTTTGATTTAATCAACCCATTGATGCTTTATTCCCAAAATTAATTTTGTTGATTTCAAGATTCTATATAACAAAAAGGATATTTTAGGTATTTGATGTTGTAATGAAAAGATTACCATTGACTGATGGTGGAAGTGGTTTAACTCATTGCCTTGTTTTCCAGAAGAGATTCGGTCAATGCCAGCTTCTCATCCAGTTTGATAATTGTTTAGTTATCTACATTATATAGGTTTAAAAGCAAAAGTTATAACTCTAAAATAGACTAAGCACCAAATAGTGAATACCTTAGAAATTGACATTGAATGCTTTTTTACCCATGGAGAATATCAAATTTTAAAAAACTACATACCTCACATAAGAATAAGTTAAAATATAAATAAAAAAAAAATGAGAAGCATCCATTAATTTTGCAAATTTTAACAAAAAGAAACTCTAGTGGAAGAAGAAAATATGAAAGCTTGATAACAAATAACGAATCTCAACCATACTCATATCTAGTTATCATAGTGGGCTTTAGAATTTCCCCAAACAAACTAACCCTATATTAGTCTGATCATATTAAATGAACAAACTAATAACATAATGAAAATAGTAAACTGATATAAATAATTTGTAATCTCGCATACCAGGGAAATCATGATTGCTCTCACCCACATCTCTTGTAATGAATCCATTATCTTTTTCAATTGAATTAATCACCTTTGCAACCCTTTTCTACTGAACAAAATTATGTAAAAATAATGTCAAATGAAGTTGTAATTAAAGAATTTAATAGATTTGATGATAGAAATGTGAGAATATGTCGGTTTTTTTAATAATTAGAGGGAAAAAGATTACTTGATCATCTAAGAGGAAGCATCCAACAAAGAAGCACATCTACCCATGAAA